TTTTTTTAAATTGCAGAGTAGAAGGTCCCCTTAAATTAAATTAAAAGATCGTTTAATAAATGTAATAAATAAAATAAATAAAAATCTAGGAAAACTATTGCCATAAATATTTTAATAAAATATATAAATTAATAAAATAATTTAATTAAATAAATAAAATAAATATTATGCAATATAATAAATATTTGAGTACATATATTCATTGAAAAATAATTTTAAAATAAATTAAAGTTAGTTATGTTGTACTTTAACACCCCATGCATATCAAAATAGATAGATAGATAGATAGATAGAAGGATAGATTATTCATCGTCACGTTCACTAGAATTTGTCGTGGTTTAGCTCATCCTAATTCTCTCTCTCTCTCTCTCTCCTATTCCCTAAACTGAGAGAAGAGTAAAGTAAAATAGAAAGAGAGATAGATAGATAGAGAGAGAAAGAGAGAGAATATGTAGTAGTGTACTATATAAACTAGTTTCCTGTCACTCGATAAGTCGTCCCAACTGCCTACGGGAGGAACGAAATGAAGCCTGGGGGAGCCTGTATAGGAAAGTACAAATGGTACAATGGCCGCAAACTCACCAGGAGGGTTGGTAGGAAGGGTGGTGTAGGATGGTGGATAAGGAAAGAACGTTGGAACCAAACGGTTGTTGGTGAACGAACTTGGAGTAGGCTGGCTGATGGTGGTACCATCACTACCACTACTACTATTGGTCTAAAGTAAAAGAGAAAAGATGAAACCTATTGGTGGTGGTGGTGGTGGTGGTAGTAGTAGGTAGAGGTAGGATGAGATGGGACGAGTTAGGGGTAGTATGTTGTTCTCTTTCTATCCCTCTATCGGTCTTTCAAGAGCCAGAGAGAATATTGTCGCCGCACATCGAACCAAAATCCCCTATCCGACTAGGAACCTTGGCTTCTGGCCAGGCAGAAAGATCCGTTTGGTGGATCTTTGCCAAATCGTAGGGTCCGAACTATCCCACCGATTGCTCGGACAACCTAGACCCCCCCCATCACCCACCTAACCCAACCCAACCCTATCCCCAATTCTCTTTCTTTCTTTCTTGCTTGCTTGCTTGCTTGCTCTCTTTCTCTTTTAAACTTCAACCTTCTTTTATCATTTCTTTCTTTTTTTCTGTTTTTTTCTTTTTTTTTTTTTTTTAGATCTACCCCTGTCTTACTTCCTTTGTTCGTTCATTCTTTCTACTTCACTTTCTTTCATTTTTTTTTTGTTCTTTTTTTCGTTCACTCGTCCGTTCTTCTTCATTCGTTCAGATGTTCCCTACCCACCTTTTCTATTTCTTTTTCTCCTGATTCTCCTCCTTTTCTTGTTCTTCGTCATCGTAGCTTCTGGTGGATGGTGGGGTATGGATTTTCCTTCTCGATCCGTTCTGTCTTGGCCAGATGACTTGAGGGGGGGGGCGAAGGGGGCGGGGGAACTAACCCTTGAAAAGAGGAACAGAACAGAAAAGTAAAAAGGAAAATGAATAAAGAACTTTATTACCGTCTCTTTCTACTGGATGAAATTCTTCGACATGAAATCGGACCGTTGCACCTGAAAGAAACCGAATCACGAGAAACCATCCCTCCCATCCCCCCTCCCATTCACCCCTCCTATTCTAAGAAATTCTTCGATTCTGTGTATCGCGATTACCCTCCGACCAATAAGAGAGAACGTCATTCTTACATAGCTACCCCCATGCACTAGTAAGAATTAGAATGGCGGATTTTTCTTCGGAATATATGTATATGTATATGTATATGTGTATATGTAAATGTATATCGTTAAATTAAATCTGTATTTTTCTTTTTTTAACTATTATTATTCTTATTATTCTATTTATTCTCCCAGGTGTATTAAAGAAGTTTCTTTTAGAAAAGTATTGTTTGATATATCGGATCTTGATCGGGGGAAAAAAGGGGGAAAAATGTAATCCTTTCGATAAAGGAAAATAGTGATTTCTTATTTCGATAACAGTAAAATATATTTCCTTGCTAAAGGAAATGTAACGTGACTTTTTATTATGGAATATAAATATATATTTGTATTTACAGGTTGTAGAATAAATATGAGGATTGTTTATGCATTTGGTAATATATTTAACATTATAATATATATATATTATACATATATATTACTTTAGTTATATATAATTATATGGTTATATATAATTATTACCAATATAATATATTACCAAATATAATTATCAAAAATAATATATTACCAATGTATGCATATTATATATATACCAATTACCAAAAATAATATATTACCAATATATATAGCAATTACCAAAAATAATATATAACCAATACATATATATATTATTTATCTATTACTAAAAATAATATATTACCAATATATATACATATATGGTAATATATAATATATTATAATTTTTCATATATAATATAATATATTATATATGAAAAAAGTTGTTTATAAAAAAAATTGAAATATTTAATATACTTAATAAAAAAAATTGTAATTAAATTATTATGAATTATTATTGTATCCTACTTTAATACTAATCACAAATTAAATCATTCTAAATTCGATATATTAATTCAAGATAATATCATTCTTTTAAAAAGACTGTAAACTTAGTTCTTACAGCACATATTTATTTTTTACCAAGGGTAGGTTGCTAGCCTCACCCTTGAACCCTCCTCCTTTATCTGGGCTTGGGACCAGCTAGCTATTATCTATGATATCTAGATACTAACTAGGCGGAGTTACAATATCATTGATAAATTTATAATTATCTATACAACATTTTTCAATTAGTTTATTAACTATATTTACGATATAACAACCACTAATTTGGATATTGTATGAAACATATCAACCTTGATTGGACTATATTATATTATACTGTCACTATATATCTAAAGTAATAAAGTTTGTCAAAAGAAACTATTACTTAATATAAATAAATTCAATATTATCTGTATAATATTTTTTAATTAGTTTATTAACAATATATACAATATAACAACCACTAATTTGGATATTGTATGAAACATATCAACCTTGATTGGACTAAATTATACTATACTCTCTCTATATCCGAAGTAATAAAGTTTGTCAAGAACAATAATACAAGAGCAAACGTTCAACTCTCTCTCTCTCTCTCTCTCTCTCTCTTAACAACCAAGTATTATATATACTAGAAATACATACAAACACACAAACATACATACATATATACATATATATAGTTTGTGTAGTAGAAGTATTGAGAGAGAGAGAGATAGAGAGAGAGAACCGATGCAAGAGTTTGCAACGTACTCGATGGAGACCTGGAGTTTCTGGTCTAACTAACAAACGTGAACCTGACAAACCATGTTGGTAGTAGTCAATCATACGTTTTACCAAGCTCGATGAGTAACGTTAGAAAATTCATGAGACGCTACATCGGAATACATCGGAAAATGGTGATTTAGAAAGTTTCACCCAGTTTCTATCCACACCCACTCTCACCCCCTTCATGTCCCTGAAATTCTACTACTACTACTTTTTAGAACAAACGAAAGAAACCGAACGGTTAAAAAAGTTTTCCAATGAGAAAATACATGTATAAAACAGTATGTTAGTAAAAAGATAGAAAAGGAAAATAACATTGAATGAAAAAGAATAACTAATAATAAAGAAAAAAGTAGTTTAAGAAATGATTGAGATAGGAAAATAAAGAAAAAGAGAGAGAGAGAGAGACGAAGAGAGTGAGTGAATGAGATTGAGTGAGAAGAAGGATATATATATATATATAGTCTTCAAGGATATATTATTCAACTAGGAAAAGGAAACGAAAAGACGTAGCAGCATTTATTCGATTGCGTATACACTACTACTACTACTACTACTACTTCTATTTTAGAATATTTTTCTTTTCTCTCTCTCCCTCTCTCTGTCTGCATATTCTTCTTTTCTTTTCTTTTCTTTTTATCTCAACCTCTTCTATCTTCGTAATAAAATCATAATTTATCTTTATAATTAAAATGTAGATCATACTCGATACGCGGCACAGTGAAAGAAAAATATAGCAGAAAATTATTATTATTATATATATATATAAAAAGAAAAGAAAACAAAAAAACCAAAGGGAGTTGGAAAAAGAAACAAAACATGAAAATGTATATAGAATAAAAATTAGTAGACCAAAAATTCACCAACTAATTAATCCCCATAACTTGTGTCTACGAAATCAATGATCCCCTTGCCCTACCATTTCCGTCCAACCCCCGTCATCGACTCTTCCAACACCAATGGGATTCCCCACAATTTCTTCGGGGAACCCCTGGGTTTCCTCACAAATTCCCTGACGTCCCCAGAGGACCCCCACAATTACCCCAAGAGATCCCCATGGGGATTCTTCTTCCTCTTTCACTTCCCCCGTCTTCCTGTTTTCCAGTTTTCCTGTAACCGTTTCATCGTTTCGTTGCCGTTACATGAATTTTCGTTCACTTTTTTTTTTACATATCATCCCCCATTCTAAAGAAGTTTTCACTTGAAAAAGAAAAAGAAAAAGAAAAAAAAAAACAAAGAAAAAGATTGGAAGAAAACGTAGTTGAATTTTCATCAGAGTTGTCGTCGTAGTTCGTCTGAGGGAGAGAGAAGGGGGGGGAGGGTTAAAAGTCGACCGACAACTACCACTACCACTATCACTACCACTACAACTATCACAACTATTATAAAATCTTCTATCTCAAGGAGAGAGATGAATTTGACAAAGTTTAGTGCCCGGGTTTTCACTTTGTTTCCTCGAGAAAAGGACGACGACGACGACGACGACGACGGAATCGAGTGAAAGAGAGAGAGAAAGAGAGAGAGAGGAGAGGAGGGTTTAGGAGAGAAGGGTTAGGGTGCAAAAAGGCTGACTGGCTGACTGGCTGGCTAGTCGGGTTGGTTGCTTTCTCATGCACGAAGATTCGAATAGTGTTCACTGTTAGACAGACGGAGTTGAATTTCACTTGAAAACTTTTTTAACATCTATATGGGGTATGTTTGAAACACATTTTAAAAGCTACACGTTTCATATACATTTATATATGTATATATATAACATGTTTATATGTTTTAAATGCATATGAAACGTGTACCCTTTAATATATACATATATATTGCATGTATAACTACCTATAATACATAACTACCAATATATAATAGAGGTATAATAAATAACTACCTAATATATAATATAATCTATATATATATAATATAGGTATAATATATATAACTACCTAATATATTATACCTATATATAATATAGATATAATAAATAACTATTATTAATATTAATATATATATTAATATTAATAATTAATATAATATTAATATATAATAACCTATATATATATAATATATAATATATAGCTACGTAATATATAATAACCTATATATATAATATAGGTATAATAAATAACTACCTTATATATAATAACCTAATATATAACTACCTAATATACAATAATCTAATATATAATATCCTAATATATAACTACTTATGTATATATGTTTATATATATATATATATATATATATATGTATATATATGTATATGCACGGTATATATATATATATATAAGTAGAAATATATATGGTATACTACCTATATATGTATATGTACATATATGCGTTAAGTTTCTACTGTATCCTTACTATATGGGGTAACATACTCTCATAAGTAAAAATATGACAGAATGATAAAAAGTGAAAGAGAAAAAAAAATTAAAAAAAAAAAACCTATGTACATACTTTTATAAGTGAAATAAAGAAAGAAACTGATATAAAGAAAAAAAAATGAGAGAGAGAGAGAGATAGAGAGAGAGAGAGAGAACTTATGTGCATATTCTCATAAGTGAAAGAAAGATAAAAAGATAGAAAAAGAAAGAAACAGATAAAAAGAAAGAGAGAAATGTTAGGGGAGACTTTAAAGGTTCGTTCGACTTTTAAACTCGTCGCAATGTTGGAAACTTTTTTTTTTCCTTTTTCTTTTTCTTTTTCTTTCTCACACTTATATTCTCTCTCTTTCTCTCTCTTATTCTCTTTATCTTTCTCTTTTTTTTTTCTTTTAGTAGAGTCGAGTTAGAGAGTCTGGGAAAACGTAGCAAGCGAGAGTGACATTTTCTTCTCTTTTTCGTCGTCATCAACCCTTCCACTAACCCTCTTCCACCCCTTGTTCACGTTCTCTTCCTTTTCCAGCCCTTTAACGTTCCTTCGTCTACTATCTCGTTCCGTAACTTCCTTTCTTTCTTTCCTTCTTTCTTATTCTTTTTCTTTGACTTTTTATTCCTTTTCATTTCTTTTTCTCACCACCAAGAAACATTTTCGCGATCGAGCTCGGTTCATGGCTAAGTCGTTAGACTTACTCACCCCCCTTTTCCACCCACCCCCCAAGGATAAGCAAAAGGTTTAAGGAAAAGGAAGAGAGAATATCTTGCTTGGGTTATTGATGTTTCATACCAGCAGCATGTAATAATATGCAAAAGAGTGTTAGAGAGAGAAAGAGAGAGAAAGAGAGAGTTAGAGAGAGAAAGAGAGAGAAAGAGAGAGTTAGAGAGAGAGAGAGAGAGAGAGAGAAAGAGAGTGTTAGAAAGAGAGAGAGAGATTCTTAGTGTATGACACATCATTTATTGAAGATTAACACGTTTACTGTCATGGGATTTTATATACGTTTTATCATAGAATTTATGAGCTTGTATTATTATTATTATTATTATTATTATTATTATTATTATTATTATTATTATTATTATTATTATATTATTATATTTATTTCATTTAAAAGTGATATATCAAATTCAGGTATATGTAATAGAATTGCATTGGAATTGTATTAGAGTTATAAATTTATATTAATTATATACTTTGATATTTTATTTTATTATTTTATTATTAATATAGGTAATATTATTTTTTTTAGTACATAAAATAATTATATATTTATAATATATAATTGTATATATAATTAAGCAGCTATAAAGTTTATAATATATAATCTGTATTATAATTAAATATTATATAAAGTAATATTTTATTATAATTATAATATATTATATTAATTATATTATATAAATATAATATATAATACATATATATAATAATATAATAAATATAATATAAATAATAATATGTTATAATATTGTAATATAATAAAATATAATAATATAAAATATAATATAAACCTATATTAGATTATAATTAAATAATTTAGATTATATATATATATATATATATATAATAAGGGTTATATATTGCCCTCTATTTTTAATTAAATAATTTTTAGAATCAACCAATCACATATATTATTCAATTATAATTTATAATACATCATATACATGAAAAACAAAAATCCCCCCCCCCAAAAAAATTTAGATACCATACAAAACCATAATCTAAAATTATATTTTCTTCTTTTTTCTTTTTTTTTTTTTTTCCATTTTAGAATCAACGAGCGAAGTAACTGAAGGATTATATGCTGGTAATCGTACAAGATTGGTATATGGTGTATTTACAACACCTGTAAATTCCATTGGTGGTTCAGCAATCTGCGCATTTTCAATGAGCAGCGTACTCGAAGTCTTCCAAGGTCCATTCAAAGAACAAGAAACGATAAACAGTAACTGGCTAAGAGTACCAACAGAAAGGGTGCCTAAACCAAGACCTGGTACTTGCGTTAACGATTCTAGAACACTCAAAGATACCATCGTCAATTTTGTTAAAGCTCATCCACTAATGGATGAAGCTGTTCAATCCTATTTCGCATTGCCTGTGATAACCAAAGTCAGTTTCAAGTAAGTCCTTTCTATTATGATTATTATTATTATTATTATTATACTAATTTCTATAATTCAGGATAACTTTAATAAAAGGGGTATATATAGGATTAAGAAAACGTCTTATAGGATTATAACACTGTTATAATAAAGTTTAGAAAAAGATATTATATATTATTTTGAATGTGTTAGAATTAAATCTTAGAAGTTTGGTAAAATTGTTTTTGAAATTATTAAAGTTTTTTAGATTTTATTAAATTATAAAATTTTGATTTTATTAAATTATTATATTGTAATTTATTAAATTATTATATTGCAATTTATTAAATTATATTTAATATAATATAATAAAAATAAAAAAGAAAATAATAGTTAAAATATTATTAAAATATTATTATAAATTATTATATATATATATTTAAAGCGTATAGAAAAAAATATTGCAACAAATCCATGATATTTTTTTCTTCTTCTTCTTCTTTTTGTATATTCAAAAAAAAAAAAAAAAAAAATAATTATAAATGGTGTTCATTTAGTTACAGATTTACCAAAGTTGCTGTAGATTCGCAAGTGAAAGCTTTAGATGGCAAGGCCTATGATATACTTTACGTTGGAACAGGTAACCGTCATATCACTAACTTTAAAATAATAACATTTCTCGTAGCCCCGGCACGAGATCGTATTTCGTCCTTTCTCGAAAATTATACATGGAAATATTCGGATATATTCCACAGACGACGGTCGCGTGCTGAAGGCATTGAACACCCGTTCTCCGGATTCTGTTACCGACGTTAATCAGGTCATTGTTAGCGACGTCCAAGTGCTGAAATATGGTAAGCTTAGAACCATCACCTTTACCATCACCACCATCAACTCTCTATTATTTATTTTACTATTCATTTCTATCCACTGAAATTATATATTTTACTTTTTAAAAAGATATTACTCTTTTCATTTTTCATTATTATTATATATGTGTGAATCTCATATTATTATTATTATTATCATTATTATTTGATTATACATTTTTATTAAAAATTCTAATTCTCATGCATATTATTTTAATTTGTAATTATCTTTAAATAATACATTTTTTTTATTATTATTTCTTTTAAAAGTTCAATGGTACAGAGTTTTGTTTTTCTTTTTTTTATTTTCTATCTTGTGATATATGATTTCTATTAGTTTTTATTTTAAAGAAGGTTTTTGTTAAATTAATTATACCTTTTTAAGGTAATAAATAATATCTTTTTTTTTTGTTATTATTTCTTTTAAAAGTTCAATGCTACAAAGTCTTGTGTTTTTTATATTTTCCACTTCGTAATATATATAATTTTGATTAGTTTCTATTTCACAAAGAGGGTTTTTTAAGTTAATAATACCTTTTTGTTATTATTATTTCTTTTAAAAGTTCAATCCTACAAAGTCTTGTTTTTTAAATTATTTCCCATTTTGTGATATATGATTTTGATTAGTTTCTATTTTAAGGAGGGTTTTTCAAGTTAATTATACTATGCTTTTATTATTATTTCTTGTAATGGTTTGGTAATACTAAAGTTTTGTTTTTTAAATTATTTTCTATTTGGTGATATATGATTTTGATTAGTTTCTATTTTAAAGAGGATTTTTTAAGTTAATAATACTTGTTTTATATTATTATAGGATTTTTTTAATAATAAATTATTACATTTAAAAAAAAACAAAAAAGGCAAACGTATATGTGTGTTTATTTTATAATAAAGTAGAACTCGTAGAGAAAAAATAAAATAAAATAAAATAAAACAAAAAATTGGTAAAAGCAAAAGGGGACTACTACTATTTTTCCTTCTTTAATTTAGCAAGTTTAGGTAATTATCTCCTATTTTCTCTAATGGTACCGTTTTCCAAAGTAATTCTTTTAGTTTATTTCCTCTAATGATACAAATTAAAATAGTTCTTTTAGTTTATTACCACTAATGGATATACCAACTGTTAGAAGGTAGTTCACTTTTAGTTATTAGTTTTGCCATTTTGGTGATACACTTGTAAAAGAAATTATCTGTTTATTATCCGTTCTTCCGGTTACATAACTTTTATTATTTAACAACTAAATTTACTAAAATATTATTAACAGTTTTCCTATAATATTCTCTCTACTATTTGAAAATTATTATTATGATTATTATTTTTTTTATTATTATTATGGGAAAACTTTTGAGAAATTTCTATGAAATCTAAATTTTACCTTAAAACAGATGATATTAAACTAGGAAAAAATAAATATTATCTTTAAATACGAATATCTCAAAATGAGTTTCTCCAGATATGTTTAAATAAAATTTAAAAAAAAAAAAAAAAGAACAATTTTGCAGTTTCATTTACAACAAATAGTATAACAAAATCAAAAACCTTCGTATTTTACTCACAATTAATTAACAATCTCAATAAATAATAGAAAAACAATAAGAAACAAATAACTTTGAAATCCGTCAAAATAAAACAAACATATAGATAACTACTTTCAAAACATAGAACAACCATAAAACCATGAAACTAATGGAATATTCTCCTAAATCCCCTTTGAATGAAATCTTTCAAAATAAATATACATACATACATACATATATAAATATGCTTTTATTAACATTTGTAGGACAAGCAGTGAAGGATCTATTAGTGGTGCACTTAGCAGGTGAAGCCAGTAAATTGGTTGTGTTTGCGGATTCGGAGATACGCGCAGTACCACTTCATCATTGCGATTCACCATTGGCTGCTAGTTGTGCGGCATGCGTAGCACTTCAAGATCCACATTGCGCATGGGACGCTACAACAAATCTTTGCGTTGCTGTACCAACTAAACTTCATGATAGTGATGCTGATAAAACCCTATTTCAAGATATCCTTATGGGAAAACACAAAGGGTGTGGTTACGAGCAAGGTAAGTGTAATGTATAATAATATTATATTATTCTGATGTTAATATATTACAAATGAAAACCCACCACCACCACCACCACCACCACCACTACCACCACCACCAGTACTACAACCTCACCCCAACCCACCTTTTTTATTCTTTAAGCTTTCACGAATGAATTCCCTAGATAATGGGAGAAAAGCCTGTTTTCTCACGCACTCTTTTTTTATCTTCTTCTTTTTTTTTTCTACCCTCTCGAAATAATGACTCTCTCTTTTTATCTTTTTATCTTTCTTTTTTTTTTATCTTCTTTCTTTCTATGGGTTTTTTTTTCTCTCATCTTTCTCTCTATCTTTCTCTCTCTCTCTCTCTCTCTTTATCTTACAATATTTCTCTCTCTATCTCTGTTTCTCTCTCTCTTGAAATACTTGATTTAACGCATCCTTGACTTCGAAGTAGAAACGACGAGACTTTCGAAAAATTTTCAAGTAGGACTTCAACGTACAGTCGTTTGCAGAAATATTCGATACGACGAACTTTTATCTTTTTCTTTTTTAGTTAGATAAATTGATACGATATATTATCTTGATTTATAACTAGATTATTGTTATCTAGTATAGATTGCAATTGATATTGAAATTGTATGAAGGATATATTGCAATGATATTTTACTTTGTGTACTATAATTATATTATAAATATATTCTTAATAATATATATAATCTTAAAATTAATAAAAAAAATAATAGAAATATTTAAACAAAAGGATTAATATTTTTCTCGAAAAAAGAAAAAGAAAATTGCATTTGCAAATCACACAAGTTAAAAGTGGAACCTTCAGAACAAAGCAAGTTTCCAGAGAATGAAATGAATTCATAGTATCAGGAGTAGGATAATTTATTATATAATATTATTTATTGAATAATTATAAAAAATGTGCGCCTGTAATAATGCAACCCTCCATACACAGTTTGAAAATGTTGCTTGCGAGCGACATCTGTTGAGACGAAAATTTTGTTCTGCCCGAAAGCTAAGCAACCCGTAATACACGCGTGTATAAACAGTTTGGACTTGAAAAAAAATTCTGTCCCATTAGATGTCGCTCGCAAGCAACATTTTCAAACTGTGTCTGGAGAGTTGCATTCCTACAGGCGTCAACAAATGTTTCTAAACAACTATAAAAATTGAATATTAATTTTATAATTAATTTATGCATATTTTGAGAATAATATTTATTATCTTAAAACTAATAAAAATATATATATATATATAAAGTTTTATAAATGTGTTAAAAATACAAGCCCTGAGTTATCTGTGAAATAATACAAGTCTACGTAGAATGCAATCGAACACAAGGAAATTGCAAAAAGAAACTTATCGGTTTCTCGGATACACGAGATAGTTTTATCTAAATAAACGGTGTCTATATAGGAATACACATAGACGAATAAAAAAACATATATACACACGTATAACTAAATGCAATACTACCGTATCTATACATAAATATAGAAAGAGCGTCGTCTGTCGGTATCAAAGATTCAAAGCCCATTCGAAAAGCGCAAGGATCAGCTGAATCGATCGAAAATGTTGCGCGTTCATCCGTAATCGTTCTACTATAATATATATATATATATACAAGTTACACATACATACATACATACATACATATATATCTAGTACCCGTTAACACCAGGAATACTACTGTATGTCTGTAACAGACAGTCAACTTTAGCGATATATCCCAACGGGGGATTCAACGAGGTATCTCGCGAACTTTCTTCTCGTCGTTCCACACAACCATCACCACTACCACTACCACTACCACTACCACTACCACTACCACTACCACTACCACTACCATCACCGTCACGTAGATTTAACTACCTTGCTTTTGCGAACCTTTAGCTTTCATCTTTCGGACCCCAGGAAGCTTCAACTTCATCCTACTTTTATCTTTTTTTATTTTATTATTTCTTGTTTTTTTTTTTTTGTATTCTCTTTTCCTTTATTCTCTTACCACGGTATCCTTTTACCACAAAATAAAATAAAATTAAAAAAAAAAAAGGAAAGGAAAGGAAAGAAAGTATAAATCAACGTTGAACGTAACATCAAACTGCAACGTTTTTATCACATTTTATTCGACATTAGATCATTTCATTAATTATTTTCTATCTTTTAAATGTTGTAACATGTTTCTAAAAAAAATAAAATAAAAGTATGACATTAAGTATATATATAGTATATATAATATATATATGATATACTTAGAAAACGTATGAAAGTAAAATTATTACAATTACAATTTCATCATCCCCTTTTATGATATGTCTTTTTAACGCGTTGTATTTTAACCCTAACGATAAGAATTTATTGCCGTTCCCTTTTGTGTCCTACTTTTCTTGTTGCTGGAAGATCCCTTTTTTACGACGAGTCTTATTCCTTGTTATTCTATTTTTCTTTTTTTTTTTATATCTTTTTTCCTTGTTTTATCTACCTCTACCTCTCTCTCTCTCTCTCTACCTCTTTCTCTGTCTCTTTGTATTTTTTATTTTTATTTTTTTTTATTACCCTGATCTCTGAGTACTTTCCTTCTTTTTCTTTTTTTTTTATCTTCTTCTTCTTCTTCTTTTTCTTCTTCGTCTTCTTTCATATCATTTGTGTATCGCACGCTAAAATCTTTTGCACTAACTTTTGAAACAACACGTTATGTTTCATTTATGTGTCTTCATCCCCTTTCCATTCCACATTCATGGGATATTTATGTTAAGTTATAACATTTATCATTTGATACTCAGGGGAAGTGGAAATTATTTTTTACACGGTATATATGAAAATCAAAAGTTATTATTTAAAATTATAAACATTGTATCAGATAACATGGATTATATTTTGAAATTATTCAATAAAGTATTAATACAAAGTACAAAGAGAAAAATCTTGTAAAAAATGTACCGTGTAAAAAACAAAGTTCCTCTTCCCTTTATATATATATATGTGTTCTTATAATAATAATAATAATATCAGAAAAATTACAAAAAAATTATTTATATAAATAATAAAATGAATATTAAATAAAATTTGTTCTTTAAATTATTGCTACACGTATGAGTATGTTATTCATTTAATAATGATCATTATTACTTAAATAATATATTTTTCATATATAAAAACACATATATACATGCACATCCACATATATTTATACATACGTAAATGCCTCCAAAAAAAAAAAGAAGAAAATAATGAAACGTATGTATAAAAATATATGCTCGTTTGTTTGTTTGTTTGTCTGTTTGTTTGTTTGTTTGCTATACATTTTGTATGTAATATTAGTATATTACCTGTTTATCATTGATCATCATTATCATCGTGAAACTTGGTGAAACGTTGCTTCAGAAATGGCGAAACCCATGCAACCAGCCGTACCGCCCGAAATTGGGCGCGGAGAACAACCCGACGAACGAGACAATGAAATTGTCATCGAGCTGGACCGAGAAAATCAGTACGGTCGTACACAACCAAGAGCTAACGAACCTCAAGGTAATCATTAAACTCACCCCCTCTCACCCCTTCTCACCTCACCCCTTCTCACATTATCCACCAGTGTGTCATTATATTCTTTCCTTTTCGAATTCCTATTTGAAAATTATTACTTAGAAATTATTTTAATCGATCCCAGGATGATCCTTGAAAACCAACACAACAAAACCTTTTAAATAAAACTTACTTTACTTCATTCCCATTTTTTTTTATTCCTTTGACCTAACCACTCAAATCTCTTGCTACACATATTCCTTTTTATTATTATTATTATTATTATTATTATTATTATATTTGATTTCATAAGAAGAATCATCACCTGAGAAAAAAATTGCAATGAAAATGATTTTACCTTTGAGTGGATATTCTGTTATTTTTCTTGTTAAAATCGAGTTACATGTACCTGAAGTTACAACTTCTCTGTTTGTATGTTTGTTGGTTTGTTTATTTGTTTGTATTTTTTCATACCATTTTTTCCTCAAATTGTTACATGTCAAAATAACTATTACGATAAGAGTAGAAAAAACCTCCATTACTTGTTAAACTTAAAAAACAACAAACTTAGATGTAAAAGATAGTGGATGATAATTTTAAAAGAAAAAAAAACCAAAAAACAAAATAAATCAAACGGAGGTTTCGAATTACATCAAATGTTAAAGTTTTCTTTATCAAGATGTAAACCAGTTAAAAGTTACCAACCCAACCAAACCAAATCAAACCAAACCAAACCAACGTAACCTAAATAACCCTTTACCTTTTTATTCCAACTTTGTTGTTCATTTTTATTTATGTTGTTTTCGCATAGAATCTTGTATACTCATAATATCATACCATACACGTTTATGTATACATATATATATCTATATACAAGGTAGCATACATATATAATACTATATAACCAACATGTTCGTAGTAACTCGAGCATATCGTGAGGAGACACACATACATACACACACACACACACAGAGTGCGTAATCAACAAGCCTACTCCCAAGCGTGTCCTTTCTAACGCACAAGCCCCGTTCTAACTTTTGCTTCGAAGGATCCTATCCCGCGGGCATCGTTGCACGTTCTATATATATATGTATATATATATATATATATATATGGAATATACCATACTGACTTGTATCCTTTCATTCTTTGTTTTTCCTACCTACCCTTTAATCCATGATATCGATTCGCGTTATCCTCGCTTCGATGTTTCCTTCTTATTTTCAACGTTGTACGTGATATCGTATTTGAAGTCCTATTTCTTTTTATACATATATATATATATGTGTGTACAACTAGCAACCCTAAAATAATTCTTATATCAAATTACAACACGTAGCAGACTTTTCCAAGCAATCCAATAATAAAAAAGAAGAAGAAGAAGAAGAAGAAGAAGAAGAGAAAAAAAAAAGAGAAAGAAAGCAAAAAAATATATATTTATTTATATCAAATATATTAGGATAAATTGAGAAATTAGTTCGTGCGTTTATTAAATTAATAATCTTACTTGTATATATATAAGAAACAAAAAAATTAATTTTATTAACTTAACACATTTGCAGCCAGGATATATTTTTCCAATTCTTATATTAAGCACTGGCAAAAATAATGAAATTTTGAAAAAACAATAATTTTTACATATATTCTATATATAAATATAAGTTTATAAATTATTTAAATTTATATTTAAGTAATTTTTAATAATATAATATATTATATATAATTAATATATAATATTTGAATTTAATATATAAAATTTTTATAAATATATATATATATATATATAATAAAATACTAATAAAGTAATAATAAAATAATAATAAAAATAATAATAATTATAAGATAATATAAATTTATATAATATATAATATATAAATTTATTTTTATTAAATTTTTAAAATGAAAAATATATGACGTGAATAATCACGTCAACGGCAACCAGGAATAAAATATGAAAAGACGTGAATACACGTCAGCGGTCGCAAATGTGTTAACATAACAAAAATTGCACTACATCAAAAAAAAAAAATGCAATGAACGTTGTTTTAAATAATGTTATTGATTTTAAAAGCACAATAAACGTACGAACTTTGTATTAACCTAAATAAAATTATCAATATAACATATATATATATATATACGATTTATTATTTAATTTCAGGAGTAATCGTGACACCTGTGGTTTACTCGGCACAAACGTTAACCGGTGCATTAATAGGAACCTGTCTATTCTCATTGGTCGCTGGTTTTGCATCTGGTTTTTGGTTTTCCCAAAGATTACGCGGTACACCATATCCAGAACCATCCGAACAACGTCAACAATTAAATCGATTAACGGAAAGTTCCGAATCACCTGGATTCAACAATAAATCGATCAATCTCGTATTAAATGTACCACCTAAAAACCCAAATGGTAAAAATGCTAATTCATCGGCTGAGAACAAACCAGTGCAAAAGGTTAAGAAGACGTATATATGATATAGAAGACGACAAAGGGCCGTTTGAGGCTTATCGTCACAGGATCCCACGGATTTCGGTACTTCCTCATCGTCCTTCGATCTTGCCGAATCAGACGATAGAAACGACGACGAGGAAGGGGAAGAGGACGAGGAAGAGGAAGACGATGACGATGACAATGACGATGATCATCATCATCATCATCATCATCATCATAATCATCCTCATCAAAATAATCATGATGTCTACGATTATGAAGGTGTTGAATGCAACGAATACAACGATGGAATAAATAAGAATCAACAACAACAGCAACAGCAGAAGAAGAAGAAAAAGAAACATAGGAAAAACTTGAGAGAAGATTTAAGTAATCGTTGTATTCCAATTCAACAACAACAACATCATCAACGATCATCCATTTCGTCAGACATCGTAGAGTCCTATGACAACAAAACCGAACCGTGGGTTCCTCTGGAGTTCCTCCTATCTTCATCGAAAGAAACAACAGACATTTATGATACGCGATATCATCCCTACCAACAATCACAAAATCGTTATGTTCCTCGTCAACATGAATCACGTGGTAGTGTTGGAGGAAGTGAAGGAGGAGGAGGTGGAGGACCAATACGAGGAACAACAGGAACTAGTGGTTGTGGTATTATTGGTGGTAGTGGTGGTGGTGATGGTTGTGAAAGTCAAGAATTGGACTACATCGAAACGGTTATTAGCAGCAATACTCCTCCTCCTCCTCCTCCTCTTCATCCTACGAATTGTCAACGAAAACGTAGCGACAGTAACAGCAGTAGCAACAGTAGCAGCAGTGCTATGACCACCATCAGTACCAACTCGAACGATTTACTACGTAAACTTCGTCGCAGTTCAATTACTACGAATTCAGCCTCGTTCGTGTTTGATCTAGCACAAGCTGGCGATGATCCATCATCATCATCATCAAATCCACGTGACCATTACATGGTACCAACGAGAAATCCACGTGAATTAAACGAAAGGATCTTATCGCTGTTCAATCCACAATTTTTACCTAATTTCAATGACATGGTCAGATATATGGCAGCATCCCAACAAGAACCACCAACACCACCACCACCACCATCACTACCATTACCTGGTGGTCATTCACGTAATAATACTAATTCTAGATCTATCGATGCAACTGAGACACGTCTTTTCAGGCATACCAATAATCGTCGAAAAAAACGAAATAGCATCAATGAATCTATGCTTTTTCGTCAGGGACTTGTTTATCAAGTGCCACGTGGCGAATAATTATTTTATTCTCATTAAACCTTTTACTTTTTCATCAATTAAATATACAATTTACGCAAGTATGTAAAAGTAATGTTAAATATACACAATTCAACGACACAAAATCTGACGTCGCAAGGATTGTTTATTATAATAACGATATGAGACGTGTTATTCGTAGGTGTGTCAAACGTTACCTGATTTATGAAAGGATGTGTTTTTTCTCTTATTCTTTTTTTGTTTTTTTTTTTTTGATTTGTGTTAACTCTTCGGGTTTTTATTCGAATTTGAAATAATATGAAAAATGAAGAGAATAAAAACTAATAGAAGAAGAAGAAGAAGAAGAAGAAGAAGAAAATGAAATACTACTACGTCTCCTTCCGTGAAGAAGAAAACTGGAATAATTCCAGCTGAAGAAAAATAAGAAAAAAATAAAAATAAAAAGAAGAAGAAGAAGAAGAAGAAGAAGAAGAAGAAGAAGAAGAATGTGAAACGATCTTCCATCGTAGGACGCAACAACGTGGGAATAACGAACTATTTTTTTAAAACTAATACTCTCGACGATTCTTTCTCCCTCTCCCTCTTACAACCCACCCCCATCTCTCTCTCTCTCTCTCACTCTCTCACTCTCTCTCTCTCTCTAATAATCCTTCTCTCTTACTTAATAAATTTCTGTTCGTTTAATAAATTTCTATTCGTACGTTTTTAAATACGTCATTTAAAAAAAAAAAATTGACGTAAAATTCTTCCCGTAATAAAAAAAAAAAAAAACGGGAATAAGATTGGGGTTCCCATTCACGTCGAGAGAGTCCCATTTCAATTTTATTTTTTACGTTTTTTTTAAAAACTCGACACTAAGAAGGGAAAAGAAGAAAAAATAGAAAAGAAAAGGAAAGGTGAATGGAATTTAAGTGACTGATGAACAACGTTGGAAAGAATTAAATGAACTCCTTTCTTGTTTTTCTTTTTTTTTTTTTAAGGAAACGAGTTAAACGTAATAATAATAATAATAATATTAATAATAATAATTATAATAATAATTATAATAATAATAATAATAATGATACGTTAATGGGAATAGTATGATGTGATACGGAATCTGAAATAGAATACTATCGTGTGTTCGTAGAAGTGGCCTGTTTGTGTCTTTTTTGTATATGGGTGCTTAGATAAATATACAAAAAAGATAAAAAAGATAAAAAAAAAAAAAAAAGATAAAGAGCAAGAGAGAAAGATAATGATAATGATGAGAGAATAAGGAACAAAAAGCATAAAGACAAGAAACAAACAAACAAAAAATAAAAATGATAATTTAAAAAATTGTTATGCGTAGTTGAGAGACATTAAATAAATGAGCATTCGTGCGAGACGAGGCGTGCCTTCCGTTGTATTAATTGTTGGCAAATTTTTTCTTGTATAAATCGATAGAAAATGAAGAGAAAAAAGAAAGAAGATGAAAGAGAAAGAGAAAGAGAGAGAGAGAGAGAGAGAGAGAAAGAGAGAGAAAGAGAATATGATTAAAATTCAGATAATGGAACGAATAGATGAAGAGAATTATCATCGACAAAGAAATATTTCATCGAGTGAATACACATACATGTATATAAATGTATATATATGTGTATGTATTACACATATACACACATATATATATATATGTATATGTATTAGGGCAAGTGCCTCATTTAAAAAAAGGAACCGTTTCGTTTGAAATATATTACTTTAAAAAAATCGGATGAGATGATAAGCATGAGATAAGATAGAAAGAGAAAGAGAAAGAGAGAGAGAGAGAGAGAGAGATAAAAATGTAAAAAAAAAAAAAAGAGAGAAAAATAAAATAAAAAAGATGAAAGAAACTTAACGCAATTAGTGAGACTAATTTTGGGTAATATAATGTTGTGCACTTATTAATGTGCTGTGAATATTGGATTAAGTGTGTGTCGGATTTTATTGAAGAAGAAAAAAAGAAAAAAAAAAAAGATAATGGAAGAAGGAAGATGAGAAAGAGGATTTAAAATAGATGAGAGAAAGATTATTAAAAAAAAAAATAAAAAAGAGAAAACAAAAATGATTATAGCAGGAGGGAGAAGGGGGTGACAGGCACGCACGTTTATATACAATTTTGATTTTATTTGTCATCTCTGATCTTTCCTTTTTTTTATTTTTTTATTTGTTTTATCATCAATGCGTATGAAATTTTAGATGAAAAGACATTTGTCAAGATGTAAGAGAGAACATTTGTTTAATCAATTTTTATTATATGTGACATCACATCGAAACAGTTTTTACACAATAATCTAATGAATGAATTAATTAATAATTGATATAATGCAATTGAACAAAAAAAAAAAAAAGAAAAACAAGTTGAATCGTATTTTAAATATGTATATCAATTTATAGATCAATCACAATTAATTATTGTATAGATTTGTTTAACCCTTAAAGTGCACACTTGGTAAAAGTTAGTTTAAGTGCATCACTGTGGGGTGTTTGACACCCCAACGTGTGTTTGAGCGCGTCTCCTAAGCTGCTGTTTAATATTTTGAACTCGCAATTTTTTCAAAGTAGTTTGATACATCTTTTTTAAAATAGAATAAGTTTTATACCGATCTGAATTAACACTAGATGTTATTAGATAAATTTTTTCGAATTCAGTATCGTTTTTGAGAGATCAACAATTTGTTGGGGTGTGTCAAACACCCCATGTTCACTTTAAGGGTTAATGGCAATTATATTTTTTTAAGAATTATATTTAGTAATTTTTGTTTAATTTTTTTTTTATATTTCATCAAAACAAATCGATGGATTGTAGAATTTATTTTTTATATTTTAATATTATATTTTTGCCTAAAAATCATTTGTTCATATATATATATATGTATGTATATTTAGATAAAAGAAAATTATTTAAATTATAAATAATGTCTTCGTATAAATAATTATATTTAACAGAAACAACATTAACAAATCGAAAATGAAAGATAATATTTCATTTTAATTGTATTTAAATAATAAATGATTAAGAAAGTTTACGTTTTAACTTTGATAAATGATTTTCTATCTACTTTTAGATATTTTGTGAAGTTTATAATCAATCTGATGGTAAATGAGAAAAATGATTTATATATATATATATAAACATTAATTTACATAAGAAGATATCTCATTTGTTTGGTTTTTGAAAGGGGTTTTTCATTTGTTGTTGTTGAAAGGATTCATGGAAAAAAAAAAAAATAAAAAATAAAAAGAACAAAAATCATGGCAAAGTATGAAAATGAATTTTTTATATAAACGTGCCACCCTATAGTTAATACGATGCCTTTGGCACAATGTGGCACATTTTTAATCGAATATTAATTAATAATAAATACTCGTTAAATTGCGTGTAATATTTGCGTTAAGTTTTAATCGTGTGATTAATAGAAAATGTGGAGAGTGCCTGAAGATAATTAAAAAAAAGAAAAAAAAAAGGGATGATTTAACGAAAAACATTTAAAATGAAATGAACGAAAAAGGTTCAGAGGAAGAAAATAAAAATAAAAAAAAAAAAAATAAAAATGAAAAAAGAAAAAGAAAAAGTCGAACGAGTTACGAAATATGAAATCATTGATTTAAAAAATGGGAAGAAAATGAAATAAAAATAAAAAGAAGTGGAACACGAGTTACAAAATATGAAATCATTGATTTAAAAAAAAAAAAAAAATAAATAAAACTCTCAATGAGAAATTCTTTTCTTTTATTTTAAGTTTTAACAAAAAATATTATACTGTATTAAGGGATACATGTTGA